TTATCGGGAGGTAGCGCAAAAATATTTTTGACATACCTATCATATATACCATAATATTTTATATTAATTAAGTTTTTATTGTTAGTGTCAGGAGTAATTTTATACTGGTAGATTATTTTTAATGAGTTTTTTTCAATTACTATTTTTCTTGAAAATTCTTGAATGCAATGTTTATTTTGTTAAAAGCTATTTTGTGAATTATAATTCACTAAAATTTCAAAAAAGCTGATTCGTGATCTCAGTCCATCCTATTTTGGCACAGCCCCTTTATTAATTTCATGCAAAGAAAGATTATTTTATTCTATTTCTACGGTAAAATTAGGTTCGGGATGGAAACTATTGACAATATCTAGGATTTTGTTTTCCATTTCAAACGATAAACAGCTTTATTTGATGTGAAAATTGTATTATCCTGGGCATTTCTTACAGAAATAAGTTAAAAATTAAAAGTGGACATTTTAAAAGTTTTATTTATCATATTTTTTCTGAGAGAGAAACTACCAACTTTATTCGTATTAGGAGAAAAATAATTTTCTCATTACAATTACAATTTGAACAAATTATAAACATTTGAAGAGATTGAAGCAGTAACGAAAAGGTAAAGAGAAAAGATCGCTTTTTCTCCACTTGATTCCATACACACATATATTCCCAAATCTATAAATTTTCCGTTCTTCATACTGTATATCGATCCACCCAAAGTACCCTTGAATATCTAGGTTAAGGGCATGTTCGAACTTCCGAAATACCTCTTCTGTATCCTATTAAACTGTCGCTATTTGAACCACTACCATTTTATTAAGTCAATATTTACTCGCCAGCTAGTTTATAGTAATATTTATCGATTATTTCGAATAATTTGCTGAAAAAAGTAGAAATGACAATGAACTGTTTATATTCGTTAATATTCATAAACCCATTTTAGTCTGAGGCATGCAACATGAAATTTTAACTCTCAGCAAGGATGACCTTAATGTATTCATTCTGTAATGAGATTATGGAAACAAAAATACCCATCAATGTAATGATAAGCTTGTTTCTGATCCATTTTTTTCGATGAAACGAATATGTCATTTCTGTTGCAATAACCGTATGACAAAGTACTTATCTGTTTCAAAAACCCCACAGAAGCTGTTTTACAACTACATTATAAAAACGCTAAACACAAAATGAAAATTTCCATTATTTTTATTTCGTTCTAGCTTTTATAGGGTTTATTAGAAATGTAATAAAAAATCTATGGAATTTTTGAATTTTGTCTTTTTATGCATTCTATAATTTCCTAGGAATAAAACCCTATTTAGGTGTTCAAACTACAACTAAAACTCAAAAGACACGAAAATAAGACAAAATATATCCAAAAGATTGTCCCAAAATTTTTGGTATTTTTCAGAGAATATTACTGGATTGTTTCAAAAGTTAACGAATCTTCATTTTGTACTCAGCTTATTAGTATCTATAGAATGTATTTTAGCGATTTTCGGGCAATTTTTCTCTACACATTCAAATTGAACCAAATCGTTGCCAAAAAGCCCGAAAAATCAACCAGACATGCACTGTTCGACGTTGGTTTGCGGAGTATTATTTCAGAGATTTGAGCATCGAAGATGACTCCGAAGTGATCAACCTACAGTAATCCAAGACGAGGATTAGAGGACCTTGGTGGAGACTGACCCATCACAAATGGTGCGTGGCATGGCGGAAGAACTGGGCGTCAGCTCAAAAAGCTCGAAAAGGGGGTGCTCCCCACGATCGACAGAAATTGTCATGTTTCGAGGTCCGCGGCTGGTGTGATTCACCAGCCAAACCATCACAGCAGAGTCATATTGTGAGTTCTGCCTCACCAACCATACTCCCCAGACACTCGCCAATTAACTTTCTCATCGGTATAACCTTTGCCTATCAGGACCAGGTAAAACCTTTGCCTATCAGGACCAGGCAAAAACGGCCTTCGTCGAATTCATCGCATCCCGACCACGCAATTTTTATGCTGACGGAATAAATTGACTCGTGTTACGTTGGATAACTTGCACTAATTCAGATGGCGCTCTGCTCGATTAAATAAAATATTACAGTTTAAAGTAGACTCATAAAAACGAACAAAACTTTTGAAACAACCGAATATATAGATGACAGTCTATCAAGAAAATTATCCTTAGCAAATAAAATCTCACAATCAGGTGAAAATGAAACAGCATCTACTAGTGGAATATATTTTTCAAAAAAAAAAGAAAAGACAAAGAAAATTCAAGATAATATTCCCGCAATTAATATTGCTAACTACAGTACTGTCAATAAACATTTTTACAGTCATACTCACCTATTAAGTCGTAAAATATGTAGTTTAATGTTTAATAAATATATTTTTGATTTAATCGTATAAAAATTATAGTGTGCTACTTGTGTCTTTGCGGCACTCTCATTTGCTCGTGCCACAACTTTCACAAATCGTTTTTCCGAGGTATTGGCAAGGATTTAGGTTAGGTTAGGTCCAAAGTGAGTGGATCTATTCGACCCTCCACCGCAACCCGCAAGGGTTTATTGTGCCTCACACCTATTCACACTCGACCAAATAAAGGCAGTTTCTTAACGAAGCTGATTAGTTTGTATGGTGAGTGGTATTTCAGGTCGAATGGCATGAGTACGGCTTTGCCGAACTCTAAAAACCTGATTCGGCCACCAGCGGGGCAGGCACAAAGTATGTGCTCTGCTGTTTCATCATTTTCCAAACAGAGGCGAAACACACTGTTTTCCGACAGTCCGAGTCCCTGCATATGATGATTCAAATGACAGTGCCTGTGAGAAAGCCTGTTAGACATCGTAGTTCATTCCAACTGTAGTCCGACAACTGTTTGCTATCAAGCTTCGGAGGGCGAATAAACGCCTTGGAGTGAGCCAATTCTGGAAGATTCTGCCAGAAGACCATACATCTTCTTGCCATCCAGGTGTTCAATCTTTGTTTGGCAAAGCCTAAAGCGATGCCAACGACAGGTTCTGATCCGATGAAGCGCTTGCAGCACCTTCCTTTGCAAAGGAGTCAGCAGCTTCATTGCCTTCCAGGCCAGTATGGCCAGGAACCCAGACCAGAGACAATCTTTTAAGTCTTCATATCGAGGAGAGTCGTTTTTGGCAATTTGCTACCAATTTAGACATTGCTCGGTAGGAGCTGAAAGCTTTCAATGCCGCTTGACTGTCCGAGAATATTTTTATTGACTTGTGTATGTGGTTGGATTCTTCCAATCTCTCCGTACACAATTCAATAGCGTAAATTTTCGTTTGAAATAGGTCGCATAGGTTCTTAGGCAGGTTGATATATCTGTTCTGGGTCTGCGACTGAAAACACCTGCACCAGAACCGGAAGGTGTTTTTTATCCATCTGTAAACCAACAGCTATCTGCTCTTAATATTTCCTTCTCCCGGAGGATCCAGTCCCCTCTACTCGGGAACAGTATTTTATAAGGCAGTTCTTAGTTGACAGTTGGAGGCATAAAGCCAGAGGTCATTTCCAGAATGATATCACTTCCAGTATCAACCAACAATCTGTTGTGATTTGCATTAAATTGATTTGTGCAATTGGCAATGTGCAGATCTAGAAGGATCTCCATGGCCGCTGACGGTGTGGTACTGATGGCACCACTGATAACCAGAAAAGCCTGTCTCTGTATGCCAGAGAGCTTCGCCTGGGCCGTTTTCTGTTAAAGCCTTCGGCCACCAAGTAATTGCACCATACGTGATCATTGGTCTGACAATCATCACATGAATCCAATGGATTTGTTTGGGACCTTAACCCCAAGTTTTACCACAAATCCTTCGACATGCCTATAGGGACAGTCTGGCTTTGTGTAAAACTTTTTCCAAGTTAGCGTTCCAGGTGAGTTTTTTATCAAGGACAATGCCAAGACATTTTACCTCCTTTCCAAATGGAATGACCTCACAATTGAGGAAAAGTGGTGTTAGATCGTCCAATTTTCTCCTCCTGGTGAAAGGGATTATCACAGTTTTGCTGGGGTTGACAGACATCTGCTCTCTCAGTCACCAACTGTGAACGAAGTCCATCGGGCTTTGGAGGATATTACAAGCTACCCTTCTCGACATGGACCTTGCCAAGATGACAATGGTCATCTACATAAGCTTGCAGATCTACTTTTTCTCTGTCGAGGGCATCAAACAGCCACCACCTTGAGGGCAACCTCTGGTGACCCTGAGCCTAATGGCTCAGGTTGTAGTTGCAGTTCTGTTTACCAGCATGGCATAGATCCTGCCAGTTATGGTCGATTCTATGCCTTTTCTAGCCAGAGAGCAAGGGTGCCATACCTCTAGGATGAATAAAATTGTTATATCATAATTTTGAATACGTGGAAATTTTGAAGATATCAGATGGAGTTAATTCCTTCAAAATTTCCGCACCATATCGGCTTCGTGAAAATGTATCAAACTGTTCAAGTACAAAACTAGCCAAATGAATATTTTTGATGTCTCTTTTTATTTTGGGGATATTGGAATAGAAAGATACGATCCTCATCACGAGCTTCACGAATGTTGAACATTTCAAGGAATATCTTTCTCCCTTCGAAAATTTGTGAATTCCGATTTTGAACAACGAAATCAACAGAAAAGTACTCCAAGTAATTTTTGATACCTTGTATCGAGTCCAAAATACTTAGGAGAAAATATCATGTTTTGCTTTTTTCTAAAATAGTTCTTGAATTATTTTCTTCTGGTTCCGCAACTTTTGCTGCCACGGCATCGAATTATGTCATCATTCTCACATTCTTGATAGGCCATGTTGATAACATTTTGAGCCACCTAGCGAGCATCATGTCGATTCACATTCCCGTTATGTGAAACGTAACAAAATATCTGGTCTAAGGGGATAGGAACTGACAATCTTTGGATCGTTAGTCGAACACACTACCATTAAGATAATTTATCGCTTGTTAGTGTAGTATTTAAATGAAGAGAAAGGAAATTTTATTATTTACCAAGATGGATGGACTTACCTATTGATATTTGCAGTTCTAGATGACGTATGTCCAGCTATTGTGATGTGAATAAATACTTTTGAGTCATTTTCTAATTTGTTTGCTAATTCGTCGCCTTTCCATTTATAAATAAATACCGCACTGATATTTCCTGAAACAAAAAAAAAATAATAAATCACAACACTACATAGTTAATTGATGTCTAGGAAATATTACTGGTCATGGCTACCGAATAAATACTTAGATTTTCAAGATGAAAACTAAATAATGATAGAGGTGGGTCTGGCTCAATGTTGATTGAAAATTAATAAGGAAACAGCGGCCAAGGTGAGTGACCGATGTTTGAACGGACATACATACGGAAGAAACATTTGAAATTAAAAGGTAACCGCAGTTTAATGCTAATATTTGAATTTAATTATCTCCACACAATATAAGCTATGGATCATCTGTGTGGCAATGAAGAAACCAGATAAAACTGAATGTTGTTTTGTTTTTATTTTAAAAAAAGTGTCTTAGGACAAGTTCAACAATTCAATTTATATACTCCTGATTTCTCGAATTTGGATGTTTCGTCTTTATTGTTTTCAACCAACTTTCCCAACGTATTATCTGTTCTATATGCAATTTCAATATCTTGTTTATTCAGAAATGAAGCCACTTTTTTGTTGTTTGAAAATAAAGTTTGTGAAAATCAAATCGTTAGTGTAGTTTGTGGATTTAAATATTACTGGGGTTTTTTCCCAGTAATATTTCGATCACGTGTTTCGATCACCAAGTGATCATCTTCAAGAGGTTCAGTTTTATCTTCCTCTTGAAGATGATCAATTGGTGATCGAAACACGTGTCGAGGTGTAAAAATAACGATTTGGTGTTGGGGAAAAAAGTCCAGTAATATTCATTACTACACCAAAGGTTCCAAACAGTACATCATTAGTTTGTGGATTTACTAACGGATTTTCATCAAGTTACGGCCAAGTCAATCAGAAAATTATTTCTATATTTCTACTTTCAGTTTATTTGTAGGAATGCAGTAACGGAAAATTGTGACTTTTTGAATTTGAGGTGTATGAGTAGATTAACTTTGAATTGAAGGGGTTATATTTTTAGGAGTGATTAATTTTTGGGAAAATCCCCACATTTTTTTTGTATCAAGATGAAGTAGTAGAAAGCCAAAAACTTTCTTTCCCAAAAATTAATCACTCCTAAAAATAAAACCCCTTCAATTCAAATAAGATTCCTCTTGGCTGGGATTAAATACTTATTCCGTGACATTAAAAATCGTAATTCATGAATGAATTGTGTGTATTTTCTATAATGTTATCCAATTTGGTACTGAAGAGCCTTGGGGCAAGTGTCTTACGGTAAAACATCGATATCTACCAGTGAGGATGACAGTGTTCCATGTAAGTGCAATTTGTTAACATTTATTTAAAGTAGACCTCCTGTGAATGATATCTGATTTTATTCCATAACGAATGTTTGGAATACAAACTGAATGGAGAAAAGTATCTTCTATATAATTCAGTGTTCATATGAAATTTGTTCATATTTGTTTCGAAATATTTTTTTTTCTTTCGTGTAATTGAATGTTTGTATGAAAGTAGCTGTTTCAGGAGGGCTTCTAGTTTGTGTCTGAAAATTGCTTCTTTACATGATATACACATCCATTTATAGAGTTGAATATTTTCAAATTGATTACTTCCTTCCTTTATTTGGAAGATTCCCACATTTTTTTTGTATCAAGATGGAGTAGTAGAAAGCCATAAAACTTTCTTTCCCAAAAAAGATTACTTTTTATTGATTTCAGAAATCGGAAATGTTCCTCCTGACGAAAATCAAGTAGTTTTCATAACAGAGCTCTAAAACAACGCATTTCAAACTTATCATTTCAACCTTTTTCTTTAAAAAATTATTTGAATATTTAAAGAAGAGAAATGAAATAATGCATTCAACATTTAAAGAGATTAGTTTCTATTTCACGATTTGGCCATATCGGTTATAGCTAATAAAGGACAATGAATCTGTTACCTGTATGAGACAAACAGAGATGACATATTTCAGAGGCGTGCTGTTCTGTTTACAAGTTCCAAGACATTCTGTGACATATGACATTTTGTGTACCTAAACTATCTTCCTCTATATAAATAAATAACAAAACAACTGTTGTTTATGTGACCTGTGGAGGTGGTATTGAACTACTATTTATATTTTGCTTTAATTGTTGATTTATAAGGACAATTTTCCTTTTTTAGAGTAGAATATCTAGGTACGTATAAATTATTTCAACTTATATAGGCGCTGTTGCTAATATGTGAATTAGAAACAAATCCCTTTAAAAATTAAAACCCAACATTTGAAACATCAATTTGAATACTTTTCGAAGTGAATTTGAAAAACTCATGAATTAAACTCAACTTTATTTTGTTCAAACTTGCATTTACTGTAATAACTCAAATTGGGGAACATTCCCCAAAGAGGAAAAATTGCCTTTCTGCATTACCATTGATAGATTTCTTCTTCATTGTTATATACAAGTAGAACAAATTGTTAGAGTTTTCTCTAAACATTGTCTGCCTACATAGGTACCAGGTTCACAAGTTTTCGAATGATTTTTAGATGCAAACAACTAATTTTTCAAGGAAAAATAAACATATTTTTTCTCAAAAAAAGAATATTTCTAAATAACATCAGCTGGAGATTTCTATCGCAAGCAGCTGATATTTATTATCTCAGGATCAGCCATTTTCCTTTTTTCTCCGAAAGAAGTTGAATTTGCATCCTATAGCAACATGTAGGTAAATCGAGAATCCGGCCAAAGTAACTGGAAACCGCATGCTATTTTATTTGTTGTCAGCACCGGATATAAAAGACATTCACTGAATAACAATATATTTCTGGGAACGTTGAGATGATCGAGAAAAATATTTGTATTTTGCAGATTCATGTTCAATTTCAAACAACACGCGAGTGGAATATAATGTAGGAATTTGGAGTTGTTTTCTTTAAGGAATATCGGATGTTTGGGAAATGAGGTGTTGACTCTCTGAATAGCAAGTTAAAGAAATATGAGCATTATGGCAAAGGCGAGCCAAACGGTATCATGCATTTTGAAAATATTCATTATCCATTCATATTCATCTATAGTTCTATACTGATTTCAAAAATGTGAAAGTTTGTAAGGAAGGATGTTTATATGTATGTATGTTTGTGGCTCTTTCACGCCTAAACGACTGAACGGATTTAGATGAAACTTTACATAAATACAGCTTATACATCAGAATATCGGCTACAATTTACAAAGGTTTTGTGTAATTTTGGTCATAATATAACTATAAGTATTACATTAGCCGAAAAATTCTTACTCCCTGAGAGCTATCTTGGCTTGGGCTGCCTATACCCTTAGAGTTAAATGCAGATAATGTACCGTAAGATTGTTTATCTCAAATAGTTGTGAATAAAAGTGCGCGATAATATATGTGGTAGCCACCATATATGCAAAATACTGAGCCATAAATACAATCAAATTGGATACTTTCTTTCCAATGCATATTTTAGAATATCTGCAAATTTTTTATAAAAATTGATACAACTCTTGTTTTGAATATTTATTAAAAATAAACTTTGTCTTGAACATTAAGTAATTTGAACGAATCGTTTGAAAGTTATCATGATAATATTAACTTGACGCAACGCAGTAAGCCATTGCACGTCGCGTCTACTATAAGACGACGGTGGACGATACGCGAGGGTAGAGGGGCGGTTTAAGCAGTGAAGCGCCATCGCCGAGAACGCGACTCGAACGCGGGCAGACGTGGGAGGGCAGACGTCGTGACGGTTGTGTTGGTTGTAGGTAACATAATTCGATTCTCAAAGCTATTCATTACTTAGTGCAGTTGGCATATTTTTTTAGTTACTGTATTTTTGAAGTGAAAATATAAATTAACTGCTGTTGCTCGCTCTTATTTTAACGTACAGCCGAAGCTACTGAAGAATCTTAAAATATGCAGGCAGGTTCTTTGTATGCCTTAAACAAGCATCAATAAAGGGAATCAGGAATTTCTACCCCCAAGGGGGAAAAATAGGGTTTAAAGATTGTATTGAATTTCGTTTGTTTGGTTGGAAACCTTAAGTTTGGGATTAATAAAAAAGTATTTTAATTATTTCTTCAAAATGGTCCGTCACGAAACTTAATGTGGCAAACGAAATTCTATGCGGGGGATGTCGCGAGCAACAACTAGTTCGTCTATAAACTATCACCAAGTACACAAGTCTTTCAATCCTTCCCAATTCCAAACCACTGGCGAACGTATTAGTTCAGAACTACGTTTCCGAATTGTCAAATTTGAAAATAACGCTGTCTTTTGTTAACGCTCGCTTGCAAAAGTGAACTGTTGTAAGATATAGAAGTAGGTTCAGAATCTGTGAATATGTTTTATCCTAGAACCTATGATTCGACATGTTATTAAAACGCATGTATGTATAAGATAGAGGATGGATTAGTCAAAAGCCAAAGCCTCTTGACTTTTTTAGAAAGAAATAATTCAATCAGTTTATAGACCAAATATAGACAATGAAATACCAATATTTTCAGAATTAGATCCATACAAGGGTCCAGGACTAGATGACATTTCACCGATGCTACTAAAAACCTGTAGATTTACACTAGCTAAACCACTGTTCTTATTATTTTCAGCTTCACTCAGTTTGGGAAAATTCCTCATCATTTGGAAATCAGGTTATACAGTGTCACCGATAAAGTCCGCATCAAATGGGAAACTTTTTTATTTATCGTTCTATGTGAAATTTGATTTTGGCAGTAGATTTTGCTTAAGAAATGATGTCAAATGGCGTCTACAAAATAGGTCACGTGATTTCCTTAACCTGTCAAAATTGACATTAAAAAAAAGAAACATCGAAAAATGACATTATTCTTCAAAATATCCAAAAATATCAAAGGATAAAAACATTTTCTTTTGTAATTTTATACCCACACACCAAGTTTCAAACCCATAATAAGTATTTTATATTTTCACTATTTTTCCGCATTCCTGCTTTTTCTACTTATCAAAATTTAAGCACACCTGTACTAAATCATTTATTTTAACTAAACTCGTCACCGAATTTCTTTTTTTGTAATATAATAA